GCCGCACTCGTAGCTCTGTGCTTTATCCTACGCCCCCTGGAATAAAAAGTCCGGACCGCAGAGGTCGGGGAATAAGCCTTGAGGTTCGGCCCCCGTTAGGCCACGGGGCCCCGGTACAATGTTGCAGGGGCCGCCATGGTTAAATTTCTGGTCCATCCTCACCCCCTCTAATATTACAATCGCCAAATGGGGTGACGACCGGAAATCCGCATTCCGCCTAATACTTCCTCCAACCGATTTTCGGACGCTTTCCAGGCGACAGGAAAGGCGACCGGAAATTGGCGGTTTCGCTTGGGACTTCCTCGCAAATAAATTTCCGGTCCCAGTTATGTTGCTTGGAAGTTGCGATTCAGCTCGGTACTTCTTGCCAGTCATGTGTACCTCTCGGGAAGTGACGATGCAAGGGGGCTTGCAGTGCCGATCTGGACATTTTAATCCAGGGGGTGGCAGATGTCGTGGTCTCGACTGGCCCAGATTGTGCACACCTGTACTTAGCATCTTCACGCACAAAGGCCAGAGCGTCCGTACACCTGGGCTTGTGCCCCTTGCTAATGGGAGTTGTGATTCCAAGGAAGTGCAAGTATCGTCGCTCGTATTGGCTCCCCTTGGGGATCCACTTTAAGATGCGACGAGCTGTTCATAGGGAAGCCACCCACCCACACGACGTTTTGCCATGCGGACTTGCAGCTGTGATGTCGGAGTGCTTATGTAAGGTATGGTCATGTTCAGTTTGAGGCTATGCCGCAGGCGTGTTCAACCTCTCACACGGGTATCCATTGAGGGCATCTTCGGAGGCCTCGGGCTGGTCTCTGACCCAAGGCAGCAACAACGCCGAGCGGCCATGCCGAGCTCTCGTTTTGAAGTGCGGCAGCGTCGAGTTCGCTCCGTGATCGGGCTCGCCCTACCTCGCCGTTCCGCAGATGCGTGTCTTGTCGAAGCGGCGACGATCGAGGGTCGATGTCCGAGGGCCAAGGGATCGAGGCTCGAGGGAACGAGGATCCGAGGGTACGTGGTTCGAGGGGTCAGGGATCCGAGGTTCCAGGGTCGACGGATTGAGGCTCGAGGGGTCGAGGATCCGGGGTTCGAAGCTCGAGGGCTCGAGGGCTCGAGGGCTCGAGGGCTCGAGGGCTCGAGGGCTCGAGGTGCGAGGGTCGAGGATCGAGGGCTCGAGAATCCAGGGTCGAGGGCCGAGGGATCCAAGCTGCCTGGTCGAGGGCCGAGGGTTCGAGGCCCGAGGGTCGAGAGGTCGGTGCCCGGAGGGCGAGGATCGAGAGTTTGCGGCCCGGGGGTCGCGGGCTCGCGGGCTCGAGGATCGGGGATCCGAGGGCTCGGGGGCCGATGGGTGGAGGCTTGGGCTCGGTCGGGCGTGTCCCCTCTTCAGGAGGAGTCTTCAAGAACAGTCCAGACGATAGGCTGGGGGCTACTCTCGACCACATAGTTCTCTAGCATTTTTTTTGGCTTTCCGTCCCGAAAGCCGCCTGCAGGGGGACGTGCCCGGCCTAAAAGTCGAGGCTCGAGGGCCAGGGAGCCGAGGGCTCGTGGGCCGAGGGTCGTGGTGCCTCCCGCGTCTTCCCCCCGGGCCGCCACGGCACCCAGCCCTGGGCGCTGCCCGGCCTTACCGTGCCTCGAACAGATCCCTATCCCTTCGGGGGCGGCAAATAGGGGGGTGATGACTCCTCCTCCTCCCCCTCCTCCTCCTCCTCCTCCTCCTCCTCCTCCTCCTCCTCCTCCTCCTCCTCTGGACCTCGCGGCGAGGCCTCCGACGGCCGTGCTCGGGACGATGTGCGGGCACCCCCGGGGGCGCTCCTCGGCGGGGCAGCGCGGCTGCTGGGAGCGCGTCCCGCGGCAGGGCCGCCTCCAGGAACCGACGACGAGGTCTGCTCGGGGGCGGAAAAGAGGGGGGTGATGACTAGGGGGGGGTGGATGTCTTGTCGGGGGCCATGATATCTCCCCAGATTTCACGGCGCCTCCTCTTGTTTCATTACGCCCCTGGCCCCCCCCCCGCTGGGCCGCGCACATGCCGCCAGTCATGATTTGCACCCCCCCCTCTTGGACACCCCCCTCTTGGCCGCTCCCGATCCCCGAGATTGGCACGCCAAAAGGCGATGACGATCTCAGGGATGCGCCCTCAAAGAATGAGGGAAGCCCCGAGACTGGCATCGTGATGACGCGATGCCCAGCATAGGGATGGGGATCTGCTCCAGGCGCTGCCAACGGCCGGCCACCCCGCTGCGCCCCGCCCCGAGGCCATCGCCGGCCACGCGCAGGCCGGGCCGAGGGGGCGTACAGTCAACGCGCACAGTAAGGACAAACGACTTTCTTTTTCAAGGGTACCCTACTCCCCTCCTCCTCCTCCTCCTCCTCCACCTCCTCCTCCTCCTCCTCCTACCCCTGCCTCAGCCCCTGCGGCCCGTCCCCAGCAATTCTCGCAGGCCAGTTTCCCAGGTGCCGCCCAGAGTACTTCAGCTTCGGCCTCCAAGGGTCTTGCGTCCTCGCCACGCGTCCTTACTATATGTTTTCACTGTATGCATTGCCGATTCTCTCGCTCTCTGTCCCAGATTCTCTCTCTCTCTCTCTCTTTCTCCCCCTCCTGCCCTCGGAGTAGGAAAGGGTCCCATGGCGGCCCTCGTCGCCACCGCTGGATACGCGTCGAAATTCTGGTCAGAACGCAGTCTGGGAGAGGTCCAGGGAGTACAGTCAACGCGCCTAGTAAGGACGCGCGCCTTCATCTAGGATACCCTTGCGTCCTTGCCTCTGTGGCCCGTCCTTTGCCGTTTTCACTGGTCGCCGCCGCCCAAAGAAATCCCAATTTCAGCCTCCAAGGGTCTTGCGTCCTTACCAGGCGTCCTTCATCTACATTTTGACTGTAGCGGTAGTGGTACCTTCTGCTCTCCCCACTGCCCGTTCTCGCTCTCCTTCTCGCCCAGTCTCGGCTCGAGGGCTCTGCTCAGTGCGACCCCAGACGCCAGGCGCGGGCTTGGCGCCCCTGGCGGAGGAGGAGGAGGGATCCCCTGGGAGTGCCCCGAGGAGCGCCAGTCGTGCTGAGTGCAGATGTCACTCTGCCTGCTGCTGCTGTTGCCTTTGCTTCGCTGCTGCTCCCACCCTGCTCGCTCCTGCGAGCCCCCTTGGGCCTGCTGGTGGCAGCGGCGGCAGCACGCGATCGGGCCCGACATCCTTCCCTCCAAGCTAGTGCGTCTTGCGCCGCCTTGGGCATGCCTTTTGGGAGGGGGCACTTACCTGAACGCAAGAGCTTCAAGTTCAGCTTGCCTTTCGCAGTCTTAGGGCGACACTCCGAAGGCCAGTGACGCAGCCATCAGGCTAGCAAAGCAACCACAAGACGTGCACACATACACGCCAACCGTTGAAAGTACGTTGGTATTTCTGGACTCCCAGATGCCAATCTGCTTCAAACGCCTTCCTACTTCAATCATCGATCTGCTTTCGATGTCTTCTGTGCCTCTGGGCGGGCCCGCGCCCAATCTACTTTACCCGCCTTCCTACTTCATGTTTCCTCATACTTCCGACTGGCTGGTACAGGTTCATGTTGTCTACATACATGCGCGCATGCGAGGGGTCGGGCTCGCTCCCACCCACCCTCACCCGTTCCCCGCCTCCCCCGTTCGTACGCCTGCAGCACCCGCAGCCGCATACTGCTTGGGAGCGCACGTGGTGCAGGCAGACTCGGGCAGGGATTCTGACACTTCAGCGGGAGGAGGAGGAGGAGGAGGAGCAGGTGGAGCTCACACACCTCGCAACACAAGCGGGCCCGACGTTGTCACGGCGGAGTGGGGAGGCGGTTATGAGCCTCGCTTGCCTGCTCAACCTCTGCTTTGGTCTTGGATCAGCCTCCGAGTTAATAGGATCGGCCTCCATGCTATCCTGATTCGCACGCACAGCTCGCTTACGCACCATGTGTGCCACAGCATCTATCATAGAACATTTGGGCTTCACAATGGCACTGGCGAATGCACTAGCTGCAGCACGCTTCGCAAACTCATCAGCACTCATAGTACCCGCTATGGTGAATAATTGCCGCTCAGACTTCGAAACTGATTGTCTCGACGACTGCACCCTCGAAACTCGCATCGCCTCGATCGCGCAACGTGCGCTTGATCAGCCACCATCAAGTGTCATTCTTTCCTGATGGGTGTACCTGGCGCCGCTCATGCCAGCCGTGCACAATCGGAAGCCGGGCAAGGGCTGCTAAATCCGTGGCTGCTAAAATCGACCTCCGGGAATTTGTCTTCGTCCATCCAGGAAGAAACCCGTTGGCTGTTTCGCGTGCCGCGCCTCCCCCCGGAAAGCTGTTTTTTCCTTCCGGGATGGACGCCCCAGCAGCCACGGTCTTGGCAGCCCTCGCCCAGCTTCCGACACAAGTGGCTTGTTTTCGGTGTGGTACCCAGGGCTGGACCTGAACGGTCTTTTTGGCGATTTCGTGGGCCGTTTTCGTTTCGACTTCGGTTTGAGGTAAAGGCGAATTCGAGACGAGAGCGAGGGAAAACGAAAACAAAACGAGAACGAGGAACACCGTTTAGGTTCAGCCCTGGTGGTACCTCAGGTCTCCTCGAGTGCGCCGCAGCGCGAGGAGGAAGGCCTGGAGCTTCGCCCGCGGCACCGTCTCCGCCGGCCCAGGCGGCGCCGCAGCGACTCGGGGCTCCAGAGACGGGGGTCAATGCAAACGGGGGTCAGCCAGGGCACGCGATCCTGCAGGATCCTGCGAAGATCAGCCACGCGCAGAGGGGGGTGGGGGGAGGGGGGAGGGCCTTCTCAGAAGCACCCCTGCTTCTTAGAAGGCGCGGGCCTTCTCTATAGATGTGAGGCCGGCGCCTTCTAAGGAGCAGCCTCCTTCTAAGATCTAAGAAGCCCTCCTCTCTCCCTCCACCCCCTTGTGCGCGCCGTCAAGAAGACCCCCCTGACTGACCAAGGTTAGCGAGCCGCTCGTGGCCGCGAGGCGGCCGCGCCTGTTGGCTGACCCAGGTTTGCGAAGACCTGCGTTGCGG